TGTAAAGCACTGCGACCAAAGTCAGAATCCTCCGTGGCTCTGACATCCACCATGTAAAATCTTGTGAATGTATGAATCGAAGACCATGTAGCAGCCTTGCAAACCTGAGCAACTGACGGCTGGTGGCGGATAGCCCAAGATGCCCCCACACTCCTGGTAGAGTGTGCTTTCAACCAAAAGGGTGGAGCCTTGCTCTTCAAACCATAGGCTTGAATGATTAACTGATGAATCCACTTAGAAATAGTTGATTTGCATGCCGCCTGTCCTCTCCTGGGTCCTTCCGGCAAAATAAACAAGGAATCAGCCATTCTAATCTATGCAATCATATTCAAAAAAGACCCTTATTGCCCGAACCACAACCAGGGTATGCAAAGATCTTTCTTTTGCCGGCTGAGGCCAAGGAAAGAATGAAGGCAGAACAATGTCCTGATTGAGATGAAAACTAGAAACCACCTTTGACAAAAAAGACTGATGAGGCTGTAACACCACCTTATCCTGATGTAAAACCAAAAAGAAAGAGTTTCCAACTCCGATGCCATTCTTGCAGAGGCGACTGCCACCAAAACGATCCTTTCAAGTTAGAACAGAATTTTCCCAAGGACCCAGGGACTGTTGGACAGGAGGAACAGTATGCCACTCTCCCTGTAAAAAAAAAATATATATATAAAACCAAAGAGTAAGAAGCAATCGGTCTTTGGAAGAAAACAGCCAAGGCTCAAACCTGACCTTAATAGTACCAACAGCCAACTTGTTTTCTACTCCAGATTGTAGAAAAGACAAAATTCTCCAAATAAAATATTTTCGGGGGTGACAAATTTCAATCCTCACACCAAAAAATATATGCCTCCCAAGTTCTATAAAAAAATGTTCCTAGAAACCAGCATCCTAGCATTCAACATTGTATGGATAACAGGGTCTGACACTCCACTTTCAAAATTTGAGTCTCAACAGCCATACTGTCAAATTCAGCAACCGTAAATCTAGGTGCAATATAGGTCCCTGAGACAGCAGGTCTGACTGATCTTGACAACTTCTTTTCTACTCCTGATTGGAGAAAAGACAAAATTCTTCCCAATCAGAAATTTCCAGGGGTGACAAATTTCAATCTTCACACCAAAAAATATATGCCTCCCAAGTTCTATAAAAAAATGTTCCAAGAAACCAGCTTCCTAGCGTTCAACATTGTATGGATAACAGTCTGACACTCCCCTATCTTTCAAGATTTGGGATTCAACAGCCATGCTGCCAAATTCAGCAACCGTAAAGCTGGGTGCAATATAGGTCCCTGGGACAGCAGGTCTGACCGATCTTGACAGAGGCAATGGATCGCCCCCTGCTAGCCTGACAATATCTGCATACCAACACCTCCTGGGCCAGGCTGGTGCCACTAATATCACCTTTTCTCGAATCCTGCGTAATAGCCACGGGAGTAGCTGAATCGGGGGAAAGGCATAGATTAGGGAAAACTGATCCCATGGTATCACCAAGGCATCTATCCCTATCGCAAGAGGGTCCCACATCCTGGACACAAACCTGTCCACCTTCCTGTTGAACCTGGACACCAACAGATCTACGTCCAAGTACCTCCAACGCTGGCAGATTGCCAAGAATACCTCAGGATGCAGAGCCTATTGCCCCAGAAACAACAGTCAACGACTGAGGTAGTCCGCCTGCTAATTCTCTGTCCCTGGAAATAATACTGCTAACAGAACTGGAACATGCCCTTCTGCCCAAGCCAGAATGTGATCTACTTCCTCCTTAGCCCTCCAGCTCTTGGTACTGCCTTGGTGGTTGATGTATACCACTGCTGTAGCATTGTCGGACTGGACCCTGACTGGCCAACCATGACGCCTAGTCATCTATGCAGCACCGCTCGAAGCTGCAGGATATTGATGGGGACCCTGTACTGTGGTCCCTTCTAGAACCCCCCCAACCCGAGAGGCTGCTGGCATCAATTGTTACCAGCTTTCAAGTCACTGGTGGGAAAGATCTTCCCTTTTCCCAATTCCGAGCGTCCATCCACCAATTCAAACTTTGCAGCACCCAGGGGGACAAAGACATGTAGTAATCCAGTGCTGGAATCTTTTGTTCCATGTCAACAGAATATTCCTCTGCAAAGGCCTTGAGTGGAACTGTGCAAAGGGCACTGCCTCGAATGAGGATTCCATCTTCCCCATTAACCTCATGCAGAGACAAATGGAAGGATACTTCCTGCTCCTTAAATTCCGAACTTGATCTCTCAGGCCGCGGCCCTTTCCTGGAGGCAGAAACACCTTTGCCTGAACAGTGTCTAGGACCAATCCCAAACACTCCAGACTCTGTACTGGCTCCAGAGCCGACTTCTCAAAGTTGAGTACCCAGCCCAAGCGTTCCAGAGTATAAATCGCGAAGGCCACGTTTATTCTTGGGCTTGGACCAGACTGACTCCTGAGCAGTAAATCATCCAGATATCCCAAAATCCATATTCCCAGAGTTCTGAGCAGCCCCAAAGCTGGAGCCAGAATCTTTTTAAACATTCAAGAAGCTCTAGTTAGTCCAAAGGGTAGTGTCACAAACTTAAAATGTAGCATTTCTACCGCAAACCGCAGAAACCTTTGATGCGCTGTAAATTTTGGCACATGCAAGTATGAGTCCTTTATGTCTATGGACGCTACCTCTTTTAAAGATGTGACTACTGACCGGACTGACTCCTTCTGAAATTAACAAATCTTAAGGAACCAGTTCAGCCCCTTTAAGTCTAGAATAGTCCTTACATACCCATTCGGCTTTGGAACTGTGAATAGGTTTGAATAAAATCCCTGGAACCTTCGTCTGCTGGAACCTCCTGGGACAACAGCTGGTCGAGTGCCTGAAACAAAGATTTCCTTCTCAATGGATTCGTGGATACATTGCAACTTAAGAAACGGGAAGGAGGAATTCCCCAAAACTTCAGTATGTACCCCTGAGAAACTGTAGCAGTGACGCACTTGTCCTGTATCAGCTATTCCCAGATCTCCGAAAAATCCAAAAGTCTTCTCCCCCACCCGCACGAGTGGGGGCGCCTCTTGATAATGAAGTGGACTTAGAATTTGACCTGGAGGGCTTCTGCACCCAGGGTTTCTCCTGGCCCAGAAATTTTCCCCTAGACGCAGAACCCTGTGTATGGTGAAATGCTTACCTAATAGAAGAAGCAAAAACCACCGAAATGGCTGGCCTCTAAAAGGTCAGGCATTTGGACTTTCTCTTAAAGGGTAAAAGCGTACTTTTTCCCCCTGAGATCTTCTGGATATATTTATATAGGTCCTCCATGAAAGGGAAAACCCGCCAACAATCTTTTGCACAGTAGTTCCGCCACCCAACTCTTTAACCACAAGACTCTGAGTGCATGTGTACCGACAGAAGGGACATGCAAGAGATCTGCTGAATCTAATCCTTAAGAGCATCAACTGCAAAACACAAGACCTGTGATAAATCTGCCAAATCCACAGCCGTATCCTCCCCCAAAATAGATGGTCTGCTAACCACCTATTTAACAAAGGCATTCAGACTCTGACAGATACCGATAGCAGCAACCACTGGTTGCGCGGCAGCCCCTGCCAGGGAAAAAGAAGCCTTGAGGAGCGATTCTAATTTTTTATCCACCTGATCCTTCAACACCTGGGCATTATCCACTGGGCAAGTTAAATACTTATTCAGGGAAGACACAGCTGCATCCACCCCTGGCATGCCCCACTTTCTAACAAACATTTCCTTCATAGGACATAGGGAGAATCTTTTAGGCGGAACAAAAACATATCCAAAAGATATGTTTGATGCAAAAACAACAATACAAATCACCAAAAGAACACCATACCCACAGGGGAGCATGGTGGTGGCAGCATCATGCTTCGGGTCTGTTTTTTCTTCAGATGGAACTGGGGCCTTAGTCAAGGTAGAGTGAATTATGAACAGTTTCAAATACCAGTCAATATAGGCACAAAACCTTCAGGCTTCTGCTAGAAAGCTGAACATGAAGAGGAACTTCATCTTTCAGCATGACAACGACCCAAAGTATACATCCAAATCAACAAAGGAATGGCTTCACCAGAAGAAGATTAAAGCTTTAGAATGGCCCAGCCAGAGCCCAGACCTGAATCCAATCGAAAATCTGTGGGATGATCTGAAGAGGGCTGTGCACAGGTTTGGAGTGTTTTTGCAAGGAATAAAATTGAAAGGTGCTTCAACAAAGTATTAGTTCAAGGGTGCAACCATATTATTTTAGTTTTTTTATTTTTACTTCCCTCCGCCTAAAAGATTTCAGAATATATATATATATATATATATATATATATATAAACTACACACACTACAAAGTGCTGGTAGATATGTGTGAAAGTGTTTTAAATATTTACAATAAGCCTGTGTCCTGAAATCATGCTCAAAAAAGTGTGCATCTACTTTACCACCTCCCTGCAGGACAAAGCAGCCAGTTCAGGCACTCTCTTCACAGAGGTGATGGCTACAAGGATTACAACCTTGTGAGTGACAGCATAGAGGAGAATTTGCTTAATGAGTTCAAATAGTGGTTTCTGCTTGCAAAGATGTATCCTTTGTAGTATGCATGTGACAACTCCACCCACTCCATGTGATTACACCAGCACTGCCTGTCTGGGACCACATGGGCGATTAGATGGCCAGTCACCCAGCTATGGAGAGAATGCAGCAGATCAATAGTAAATTCATGTCCAGAGGTCCTTGTTTAAACTGCACAAAAGACTGTTGAATGTGAATACATAGGAGGGAAAAGAATGTACCACTGAAATACCTGCAAACTAGTGTTTTTTTTTTCTTGCCCAGGGACACCCTTTGTCCTATCTAAAAGCTGGTTGGTAAAACATGTTGAAAACCGTTTTAATGCCATATTACACAAATCTTAAAATGTAATACAGCACTAGATAGTCAAAAGGTTCACAATGGGGCTGCTAAAGGGTTATGATGAACAATGAGTGATGCTGATTAAACTTATCTTACTTTAAACTTACATTAAAGAGCTGTTTGTCATCATGAAGGGAATAAAACTGAAGATGACCAGGTTTACCATTGAGAACAAGGGCTTTGCTTCTAGGGTCAAAATTCAAACCAGTCTTTACACCCGTTGCTGAAAAAGAAAATACAGTATAATATTAAATGGTCAGGTTTAAATTGTTGGCAACAACATCTGCAAAACTAGATGCAACAAAAGCAGTACAACCCAAGCTTTATGAAACCCCACCTTGGACAGTAAAACTTAAAGTGGAGATGTTACGTACAGGTGTCAGGAAGGAGGTCTGATAAAAAGTTAGAAAATGGAAGGCTAGCGCAAAAAAAACAGGAAAAATGATACACAAGAAAGGTAAGCTATAGGATGAAAAATGAGAATGATGAGAAAATCAGAGCAGATCTATAACACAATAATACAGACAGATTACATATGCTTTGTGTTTAAAGTGGACTTTGCACAAAAAAATGCAAGTGTTAGAAAAAAAACACCTGCAAGGGGAAAAAACACAGCATTTGCCTTGTTTCTGTACACAGCACCTTGGCAAGGGTGACATCATCCTACTTCCATAAATATCTGAGAAATGTGGAGTTCTTCAAACAGACACTTCCAGCCCTGAATTGCCGTGTCTTCTCATGGGATTTGGAGTACTCAGCATTTTCCAGAATCTTGTCAGAGGCGGATGACTGCCCCTGCGCCATGTAAGTCAGAGGAAAGGGGAGTATAAGATATTTTTTTCCACCCTACAGATGCAGATTTTTGTATTTTTTATTGTTCTGATTTACATTCACTTTAAAAACATATATTTTTGTTCTGTTTTTACACATATACAGACCCAAAATGTTGAAAGCCTACCTTTTACTAGTCCTTGGATGATCCCTGTTGCTTTTAAACCCACATCAATAATTGTTATCTCTGATGAAACAAAAAAAATAAAGGTTGTGATTTTTTTTTTTATTACAATAGGATTTTTGTACTTCCTGTAAAATAATTTTCTAGGAGCATATTTAAGAACACAGGATAGTCTTTAACCTTCAGGCATTACTGCGGTTTGCAGGACTGGATACTGGGAAAAAGAAAATAAAAAAAGACTGTAGGCCAGCACAAGATAGCCACAAGATAGCCCTTCCTACTACCAAACCTCAGTTGCTGGTAGCTGCCATGAAAAAAAGGAGGCCGAAACATCCACAAACAGCTGCTTGATGCTGAACAGATAATGAAGTACTCATTGATCTAGTAAACTGCGCCTTGTCAAAAAAGGGTAGTCTGCCTGAGCCCCCTAGAAACGGTGGAAGAAGATGATGCACCCTTCTGGGGTCCATCCAGGATGACAAAAAGAGTAAGTCTTTCTGAAAGAAACAGCAGCTAAGAGATAGATTCTCAAAGCCCAAAATATATCCAGATAATTATTAAATTAACTGGGGGCAGTTAAATAAATAAAATGCATCACTGAAAAAAAACTCAAGAACAAAAGTGCTCAACTGTGTGGAATGAGTAATGATAAAAAATAAAATAATTTACATAAAACCACATACAGTAGAAATTCAACTCTAATACTACAATATTAAATTTATATGAACAGATTTTTTTTAATATACAGTGCCAAAAAAGTCAACGACAGGTGCAAATAAAGTCAACATCATAAAAAACCACAAAGTGCTGTAAGTTGTGTGCAAAAGTACTTGAAATATTCACAATAAGCTTGTGTAGATATGAAACAGTGTACAATAAATGCTTTCAAGGGGTATCCACTCCAATACCTCAAAACGCTTTCTATTGGGAGACTTCCAAGAAGAAATTTCATGGCCTCAACACCACCATGTCCCTAGGCAAGACCAGAAGGGGTTCCTTGAATGCAAGACAAAGCCAACAGTTGAGACACCTGCTTCAGCAGTCTAAAGTCCTTGACAATGCTGAGCGCCAAATGCTGGTCCCCAACCCAGCAGTTAGAAGGGGAGAATTCATCCTACTTAGAAACCTCTAGAGTGGAAGCCCCGAGACTCGCACAAAAGGGAAGCAAGCTTCCACCATGCAATGACAGGCCTGAGAATTTGAAACTGAAGTTTATCCTGTTGAAGGTAAGGGGGAATATCCTCCTGCGCTTAGTATGGGTAAGTCCCTATCTACTAGCTGCAATCACTCAACCTCAACCAATAAGTAATAAATACCGTGCATTAAATAGTGAAGCGCTCCCAAGTTATCTAAAAAACTAATATACCCTCATACCATAAATACCCACTGAACTTAAACTAATTGATATTATAAGTGATAAAAACATCATAAACTAAATCAATTAGTGGCAAAAATTCATAAACACCTCTCATATATACCAATATATTATTACCTCTTAATAGATCTGTGATAAAAAATAACAAATATAGAATTCATAATAAATACTCAAATAACCGTGATGGAAACGATTATCATAATAATACTAATTCATGAAAAATGTTACAAATCGTGATACTTGTGACAAACCTAAAAAATCAAAAAAATATATATATAGTGATTCTGCAATAAACTATATAATACATATGGCTTGTGATAAACCCTATAACAAAATAAAAATAAAAATAGAATGAAATAAAATAAATCGCTTCTTAAATCAGTGAAGAAAAAATATATAAATAGACTCAGTGTTTCAGAATAAACTCAAATAGTCCATGCAAAAATGTGAAACACTCTGTGATCTTCACTTCTAGTGCTCAAGAAAGGAATCCTCCAACGGCAGCAATGCCTGCTCACCTCCCCTCCTCGACCCACACAGGGCCAACAGGCAAAAGACTCTCCTTAAAGGCAATCCTTTCTCCAGACAACTTAGCCAGGAACCTCAGGACTTCCACTCCACCTCCTCTCACCATGTGAATTCTTGGGCAGCCATGACATCACCTATGGAACCATTTATTTATTATACAAGTCAACTAAACTGGAACACCTTTCCTCACACCAGGCAGCTATTCGTGCACTTCGCAAACTTCAGACGGGCATGGACATGTGATGACTTGAGCAGGGGAACCTTCCGTGCAATGCATGATTTGAAACCATGACGGCATAGTGTTCTACCGACAGTGACCTTTGAAACTGTGGTCCCAGCTCTCTTCAGGTCATTGACCAGCTCCTCCCTTGTAGTTCTGGGCTGATTCCTCACCTTTCTTATCAGTGATACCCCACGAGGTGAGATCTTGCATGGAGCCCCAGTCCGAGGGAGACTGATAGTCGTCTTTAGCCTCTTCCATTTTCTAACAATTGCTCCAACAGTTGATCTATTTTCACCAAGCTGCTTTGCAATTGCCCCGTAGCCCTTTCCAGCCTTATGGAGGTCCACAATTTTGTCTCTGGTGTCTTTTGACAGCTCTTTGGTTTTGCCCATGGTAGTAGTTGGCGTCTGACTGACTGTGGGGTGGACAGGTGTCTTTAAAGAGCTCAGACAGGTGCTACTAAGTTAGATTAATGAGTGGAGTAGAGGTGGACTTTTTAAAGGCACAGTAACAGGTCTTGGAGAGCCAGAATTCTTGCTGTTTTTTAGGTGTTCAAATACTTATGTTCAGCAGTGCAAGACAAATAAATTCTTTAAAAATCATACAATGCGATTTCCTGAATTTTTTTTTTATTCTGTCTCTCAGAGTGGGAATGCACCTACAATGTGAATTTCAGACCCCTCCATTATTTCTAAGTGGGAGAACTTGCAAAATCGCAGGGTATTCAAATACTTCTGTTCCTCACTGTATAAGGCCATCCTAATCTGTCAAACACCTTTTGGGCATCTAAGCTTAATAGGAGAGTGGGAATTGGAGACTTGTTTATGAGATCGATCAGGTCAATGGTCCTAGTGTTATCCCCCGCGTGTCTAGCTGGGATAAATCCCACCTGGTCCCTGTGTATAAGTTTGGAGATGCATTTGGACAGCCTATTGGCCAGTATTTTTGTGAATATTTTGTAATCGGAATTCATCCAAGGCTATGGGGCAATAATTGTCTTGAAGGGATTGATCCTTGCCTTGTTTCAGAATCACAGAGATACATGAGTGCAGAAAGTCGTTGTGTGGGCGGGGGTCCCTTTCAGGAGAGCATGGAACAGGTCAAGTGAATGGGGAGCTAAGATGCCAATAAAGGATTTGTAATACGAGTAGGGAAGATCATCCTGTCCTGGGGATTTATGAGAGGGGAGGTGCTTAACAACATCCAGAATTTCTTCCATGGTGACCTCTGCGTTTAAAGAACTGACATCAGAAGGTGATAATACGTGGCAGATGTAGTGAGTCAAAGAAAGCATTAAAAACAGCCATCTGGAAGGGGGGATGGATATCAGGAGCGAGGCAGTTATAAAGCTTCTTGTAATATTTCCAAAATATTTTAGCCATGGCATGTAGGTCATAAGTGGGTGTGCTGTCAGGTTGGTTTAAATGACCTGAAAGAGGGTTTATTAAGGAATCGACGTTCCACTGCGGTAATTGGTGTAAAAAGGATTGCCTAGCTTGGGTGGAGTCTTTCTTTAAAAGAGCGCCAATAGAAATACAAAGGCCTTTGATGACGGCCTTATGGGCTTCCCAATGGGCGGAGGGTGATTCTACTGTGCCAACATTTAAGTGAAATAAGTGCCCAAACCTTGGGACAAACTCCTCTCAAATCTGCTCTGTACGTAGAAAACTTTCACTGAAGCGCCACTGAAACTCTAGAAGCAGAGTTAGAGAGAATGACGTCTAATGTTAATGAGGCATGATCTGACCATGTTATCGGGTTGATCTCTAAAGAGACTAGAGAGGGGATCATGGGAGCAGTGATAAAGAAGTGATCCAGTCTAGAGTACATGTGGTGTGGATTAGAGTAGAACGTGGAGGGGATGTTTAATCCTCCAGGCGTCAAAGAGGCGATGCTCCCTAATCAATTTGCAGAAAGCTGTAGCTATGGAGCATAGCCTCTTCGACGGAGTGGGGGTGAAGAGCACTCTTCTGTCTTTAGGAGAGGTGACATGACCAGGTTAAAATCTCCTCCAACTATCATACAAGGAGTTGAAATCGAGCTTGTCTGGGAAAGAAATAACAGTTGACCAGAGTAGGGAGCATACAAGTTCAAAGGTACTAATGGAGTATAAGCATACATACATACATACATGCCAATAGAACAAAGCGACCACGTGGGTCGACTCGAGAGGAGGAGACCCTCAGGGAGCAATTTTTCCTAATCAAGATAGCTACTCCAGCTTTCCAGGAGGGGTCAAAAGCTGACTAGGATTGAGAGAAACTCTTGGGAGGCAAAATTAAACGAGCCACCCTGCTTGAATTGGATGAATATCTGCTCCCGAGGATTTAAACTCCTTCAGAGCCATCCACCGTTTTTGGATTGAATTAAGGCCTTAGACATTATATGATAACAGCTTTAGAGCCATTATGAGGTAATAATGAGTATAGTAGCTGTATAACCTGAACATACAATGTGAATATCATCGATAAGACAAGAAATTGAACATAGGCGGACAACCAGAATTCAATTAAGAGAACAGGCCTAACAATAACAAACGTGTCATAAAAATCAGGGGCCGTAGGGGAGACGGCTGAAAGAGCAGAGAATGCTAAAGATATCAAAGATATAAACCCAAGGCATCGAAGATGTCTCGAGTCGTCAGGGCTAGGAGCCCGACGTACAAAGGGATAACATGGCAGCTGTCTCCAGATGACAGGTGCCTACTGCAGCTGGCCTTGTAATGACTAAATTGGTAGGAGATTTCCACCGGCCGATTTTACCCATGTGTGGGCTCGCGGTTGTCCAGATTCGAATGAGGGCTCTCCCAGGTCTGTAACAGCTTTAGAAGAGGATCGGGAGGCTTTTGCTGGCTGAGGATCAGCGGAGTTCACCCGTTACACGTCCACCATCTTGAGATGCCGCGCATGCGCCCCGGAATTAACTGTTTTATTTAAAAATCTTCCTATTTCAGAGCAACTACTTAGTTAACAAGAAGACGGATGACATATTCAGTAAAGATAGGAAATCAGCAAGTAGGACATGTATAAAAGTTTTTGCCTGAAGATCTGCTTTAAGGCAGATGAATAATGACATGTTTTAAGGCACTCCACGAAATTAGGACCAAGGGTCAATTTTAAAAAGGATCTAGCATATGTTATTATTTGAGATATACCATTGTGTAGAATATTGTGATACTCTGATAGATAAATGGGGTATTGTCTTATTTACTACAAAATACTGTATAGCTATATTTTCTAAAAGAACATATTATATAGTTTTAAAACTGGGGTTACTTGTTTCAGTACTGAAAGATTACGAAATGGAAACACTTTTCAGAAATAAACATGCAAGTCTAACCAAAACCAATATAAGTTTTGGATGGATGTTGTCAGGTTCAACCACTCATCAGTTCAAAGTGAACCTGTGCTTTGCTCATGTAAAGCAAACAGATTCACACTAATGTGGTCTCCACCAGTTTTAAATGCCTTCCTTTTGTCCCTTAACCATTTGCTCGGCCAGAGAGGTAAAGGAGAATTAGACCTGCATAAGACGATCCATGAGAGAATGCTAGGTGCCTGAGTAGCTGACTGCCATGCACCAACATTTCAGTAGGTGAGGAGGTTACATGCTCCTCCATTACATGAAGTACTGAGTACTTTTCTCTGCTCCTAGAAATGGAGCAAAGGATGGCATGTACAGTGGATATAAAAGGTCTACACACCCCAGTTAAAATGTAAAAAAAAAAAAAAAAAAAAGTCAAAGATATAAATATAAATAAATAATTTCAGAAATAATTTCAGAACTTTTTCCACCTTTAATGTAACCTATCAACTCAGTGGAACAACAAACTGAAAACTTTTAGGTGGAGGGAAGTAAAAATAAAAAACTAAAATAATACAGTTGCATAAGTGTACACACCCTTAAACTAATACTTTGAGTGCTGGAATTAAAATCAAAAGGTGCTTCAGCAGTCTTTTTGGGTAAGAGTCTATCAGCATGGCACATATTGACTTGGCAATATTTGCCCACTCTTCCTTGCAAAAACTCTGTCAGATTGCGAGGGCATCTCTGGTGCACAGCCCTCTTCACATCACCTCACAGATTTTCAATTGGATTCAGGTCTGGGCTCTGGCTGGGCCATTCCAAAACTTTAATCTTCTTCTGGTCTTAATCTTCTTCTGGTGAAGTCATTCCTTTGTTGATTTGGATGTATACTTTGGGTCGTTGTCATGCTAAAAGATGAAGTTCCTCTTCATGTTCAGCTTTCTAGCAGAAGCCTGAAAGTTTTGTGCCAATATTGACTGGTATTTGGAACTGTTCATAATTCCCTCTACCTTGACTAAGGCCCCAGTTCCAGCTGAAGAAAAACAGCCCCAAAGCATGATGCTGCCACAACCATGCCTCCCTGTGGGTATGGTGTTCTTTTGGTGATGTGCAGTGTTGTTTTTGCACCAAACATATCTTTTGGAATTATGGCCAAAAAGTTCAACCTTGGTTTCATCAGACCATAACACATTTTCCCACATGCTTTTGGGAGATTTCAGAAGTGTATTTGCAAAATTTAGCCAGGCTGTGATGTTTTTCTTCATAAAAGGCTTTTGTCTTGCCACTCTATCCCACAGCACAAACATATGAAGAATACGGGAGTTTGTGGTCACATGTACCACACAGCCAGTACTTGCCAGATATTCCTGCAGCTCCCTTAATGTTGTTGTAGGCCTCTTGGCAGCCTCCCAGACCAGTTTTCTTCTCGTCTTTTCATCAATTTTGGAGGGGTGTCCAGTTCTTGGTAATGTTACTGTTGCGCCATATTTTCTCCACTTGATGATGACTGTCTTCACTGTGCTCCATGGTATATCGAATGCCTTGGAAATTCTTTTGTACCCTTCTCCTGACAGACCTTTTAACAGTGAGATCCCTCTAATGCTTTGGAAGCATCCATAGCTTCTGCTGGTGGATGTGACTAAGAAAATGTCAAAAAACACCTACTAGAACAACTGAACTTTATTTGGGGTTAATCAAAGGCACTTTAAATGATGGCAGGTGTGTACTGATAGTTAACATGATTTTGAATGTGATTGCTCAATTCTGAACACAGCTACATCCCCAGATATAAGAGGGTGTGCACATTTATGCAACCACATTATTCTAGTTTTTTGTGTTTAAAAAAAAAAAAAAAAAAAAAGAAGGTGGTTTCAGTCTGTTTTTCAATAGAGTTGTACAGTGTACAGATCATTTTAAGAAAAAGTGAAAAAAAGTGGAAAAAGTTCTGAAATGATTTATCTGTCTCATTTATTTTACATCACAGAAACCTAACATTTTAACAGGGGTGGCATACAACATATGTATAAATACAGGTATATTAAAGACAAGATGTTGATGCATAAACACAGCCCATAATAGTTTACTTAAAAAATGGTAAACTGTCTTCCTTCCATCCAATACACAAAATTTAAACATATTCAATAAAATTTTTGAAAACAGTCAGGAACATGCAATGAACTTACTGTTATCTTTATGTGATGTGCAGTGCAGAGAGCCATCAGGTGAAGTGGAAATATGTTCAATAGCTGCACCTAAACGTGGCAGAAATTCTTTTTTCTGTTCCAAGCTGAAAGACCACTGTACCAGCACAGATTCAACACCACCACTAAATAACACAGTACCTAAACAAAGAAAATAGAATTGGTACAAAAATACATGTGTGCCTTACTGTTATATTGTTACAGAATAATTT